AAACTGTGTAAGCACTCTTCATCACATCGATAATATATAACTATATTATAAAAATATAAGATATACTGAAATGATTTATTATATTTTTCTGAGTGAGTGTTACTATATTTTTCACTGGGTCATGAAAAACCCCACTAGCAGATTTATAGAAAGCACACTGTTTATACAACTATCAATCGATATAAGATTATTTTGGTTCGGCGATGGTCATAACGATTAGTTTTAGTGCCTCATCAAAGATTATACTGTTATTATTGTCGATATTCTTTTGATTAGATACATTAGTGTATTTTTCGAAAACATCCGCTTTATATTATAATATAATAATATGTTTGTCACATGCCACGTTATAATTCACTGTGTACATCTTATGCCAGATCGATTGTGGAAAAGATATCGATGATTTATCGAAGCCAACATTTATCTGATTTGAACATTTTGTGATTAAATAATAAGTGTGTATATTTCGATGAGATCGTAGCCGTACCAGCTGCAGTCACTGACAGTGATCGAACTACAKGGACATATTTCGTATCAATGTAAAGCGCCTGAAGTTGTTTTTTGTAAGAAAACCATGTAGCTGTAAAGCAACTTGGGTCGTCATAAAGATTTTTTCATTTCTACATGTTAAATGTTATACATATCGTGTATCAAACGCATTAACTGCAGTTATGGAATCCTATATAATATACATAGGTACTTCAGACGATGACGCACGAGATAAATAAAACTAGTGATCTTTTTATTTTTTCATTATTATCTAACGAGTTTTAAGCTATTGCAATATATAAATAACATCACTTTGGTCAGCCAAAACACACTACTGCTTGTGATTTTGGGTTGCCTGAATCGCCTAAAGTAACGAGCTGCTATTCGGATAGTGACAAAAATAATATCATTCCGACAAAAATGAAAAGTTTTTCCAACAGAAAAATTATTTGCTAAACGTGCTAACGCAGCAAAGATTTGATTTAAAATAACAATACGATATAATTGAAAGCGTAATCTTCTTTTTTTTAAATTCGAAACGGTTACAAACATTTATATTGTTTGCATTTGCAGCAAACATTTAATTTCTATTTCTGCACATAATTTAACATTTCTCTGATTTTCGTAATTGCCTTTGAACTTAAGAATTTAAGTTCAACTGACTCGAACTATAATTAGATAAGAAAAGAAAAAAAGTTAATATCCTTGTATTTTACTATATAAAACCCACAAAAGAAAAATTGAAGTTTTTATAACATTTTAACGAATTAAAGTATGCCATTTGTTTATTTTAATATTTTTTCATGAAATATGACCAATTACGTCGTCGATGATAATCTTTGTATGAATAAAAAAAATGYCATTATTTCCAATAGTTTAACAAGTTCACATTTATAATTTATGTTTATTAATGGCCATTTAAATAAACTGTTTGAAATCTAAAATCGTTATAAAAAAATAACGAACGAGTAAGAACTGTAATAACATTATGCTTGTATGTAGTTAAGGAGTTTTGAACCATTTTAAAGGTTTGCAACCATCAGTGAAAATAATATCTCGCAGTTCAGTACACAATAATAATTTAATTTTGAAGAATAATAAGACGCACGCAAACGTGTAAAATGTGATAAACATATTTCACTACTGTCTGTCAAAATAAAAATAATAATAAATACCGTAAAATAAATATCATGCATTTATATGGTACGTGTGTAAAATAAAACAAAGACGATTTACACAAAACCTCATAGGTTTTATTATTTTTCACGTCCTGTGACTTTTTAGTCCATTCCTCATTTTAAGCGTCTTTTGTTATTATTATTACTATCATCATCTCATGGCTAGTAGATGAATTTCATTGTTACAATTTTCAGTGTGAAACATTGCGTATAAGAAAAGAACATTGTATTGAAAAGATTAGTTGGCTACCTAGGAATTTTCAGACTGTGGCGATGAATCATAAAATGTTTGTGTTCCATATACGCAATTTCGAAATTATTATGTACCTATTGCGAATAAACCAAAAGAAGGGTAGGTACATGTATAATTATAATGGCATACGAATTATTTTTCAAAAAACTATTCGCACTACTTAGTATTTGATCCTTCCATCATTACAAATACGGCTTTGGATATAAATTGTTTTTATTTTTCACGTTTTATTATTTGGTTAAACACTATAGGCGACAACAACATGAGTTAAAGTACTTGATAGTAGAAAGTGATATAAAATATTAGAATGAGAATTGCAAGTGAATATTGATCCATGCGTAAATTAATTTTAAATCTGTTTTGCTTGAACCAACATGATTTTAAGACAAACGAGTATCATGCGAATTCGATTCAAACCAATTGTTCCAAAGAAATCGCATATAGTAAATGAAATAAAAATTTTTAGGAGTTAAAATAATGAATTGTAGATTAATTTTAAAAACTGGATGGCACAAAACATTTTTTGTTAAAATATAATAACCACACTGGAGTCGCTAAAAATGACTACCATTATTCCTAACAGTTATTATGACAGCATAACTCACGCTATGTTTAAGAAGAGACTTAACATAATATATTTGTCATCAAAACAATTTAGGTGAATTAATTTTTTGGAGGCAAACAAATTGAATTTAAAAATGTATAAACACAAAAAAAATTATATTCTATAATATTATATGAATTTTAAACTAATTTGAAAATAAATATTATGCAATTTATTATTATCTACTAAAATAATAAACTCAGGTCTAGGGAAAAGTTAAGTATTGCACAAAATTGTTTATCGACGATTTATTATTACAATAAAATACTCAAGTGAATAGTGGGTGATGTTTAATTGCTTTATAATGTTAATTTTCCAAATAAAAAGTTTATAAAACATTCGTGTTTTTTTAGATAGTACCTACATTTAAAGATAATTTTCAAAAAAAATCTACAGTTTTCGGGTATTAATAATAATTCTCCCCAGGAATAGTATTAAAGAAATCAGTTCATTTTGGCCACAACGATAATATATTGCACTCTCTTTTTCATCTGTGGGCGAATATCGTTGAAGTCGACGTTGGTTATTCTGAGTAAGTTTATATTACATACCCACACACACACACGCATATATATATACACACATCATACCCGTGTATTTTAAAATAATATGAGTAATGACAGTAACCAATATAATTTTAAATGTGTTACATAATATATGGTATATAATACATTTTGGTTATATACATGACGTTTATACTATATAAATCATTGGACATATAGTTTATAATATATATACATATATTGTTGGTTTCAAGCTTATAATAATGTTTATTTTTCTTTAATCTTTTTTTTTTGAGACAAAATAGTGAGGGTTGATTAAAAAAACGTCTCTACTTTTTGACTTACCACAAAATGTGTTACAATAAGACCCTTTTGTGTTATTATTGTTTTGTCCGGTCCGTATATTCAGATTCACTCATATTTGGGTACACTGTACACACGCACATTCTACTCGTATACATATTATATCTATTTATGTGTAGTACATACCGTACCTAAGGTATCTTCTTTGTCGAATAGAAAATTAAGTTGAATGGCTTCCAAGGGAGTGCTCGGGCAAAGTTGGTACGTCACGTAAACGCACGACGTGGTGCCCATTTGGTTATGCGTATTGTTGTAATACAGATGAATCCTTTTTCACCATACCYCTAGAAACGTCCACGGAGACTTATCCTTCAGAATTAATTTCAACAACTGCAGAAAAGAATGTAATCCTACATCTACTATATAGTCTTGGCACCCGTCCTTTACGTGATGTGTATAAAAGTCATAGGTTACTTACCTATAAATTACATAAATGAGTATTCAGTTAATAATATAGAAATATCATTATCTCAAATTAATGGAATTAAAACATGTTTAAGTACGTTCACAATTGTTCAGTTTCTTTTTTAGAAAACAATGTATTTTAACGTTATTAATAAAATGATGGTGCAAACTGCAAATAATTTTATGATTTTCAAAAAAATAAAAAAAGATGGTTTTTGAAAAATATATATTTCCTACACAATTCATAAATTATTGATTTCTGAAAAATTATGTTCGTCTCAATTGTGTAATTATTCAGATACATAGATATGTGAAAAATAAATAAAAAATGAATAATATAACAGTGTGCATAACTAGAATATTGTAGGTAGTTACCTTAATTGTGTTCGTATTTTATATTATAATAAACATATAAAAAATAATAATTTATTATATTAATATGGAATATTTAATATATTGTAACAAAATCGATTGAAAAGAAATACATACTTATTCATGAGTTCTTTCGTATCTATATTTAATAATAAAAAAGTCACTTAAAATGCAAATACCTATTAACTGATGTAAGGTGTAAACGTCGCACAAGACACCTAGTGATTTCATTTTGATATGTAAAACCCTTCTTCGTATTATGRTTATTGGTGCACCATGCTTAGAGCCCTTGTCACGAGCTGTCAACTAGGGGTATCTTCCAGAACTTGGTTGGAAAAAAATACAAAAACATCTGCATCATGTCACCCTACATTATCTATGTTTTATATAATTCATAATATTTTTTTTTTCATTTAAATGTTAATAAAATAATGAAGGGTGAATCCTAATGAATTTTGTTAAAATAACAATAATTTAATCTATAAAATTAAAAGAGATTGATATTATTATAAAACATAATATTATTGGTCCAAATCTAGTAAGACGGCATAGTTGAATTTCTAAAAGACTACTTACAGCTATAAAAAATTAATTTTGTTTTATTGTAAATAGAAACTTTTTACGTATATCCTGTGCCTATGAATTTATAACTTATATTATATTAATGATAGTTCCATTTACTTTCATGAGAGATAATTCTTAATAATGTACTTATAGTACACCTTGTCAGATGATTATTTAGGTGTCTATATTGAACTTTTAATATTACGTTTGTGAATAATATGTCATGGCTTATATATACCTTAACGTTTATTTTTACCACATTTTTGCAGGTCATTGGATGTTTGGTGAGATATTCTGCCATATAGTTCCATACGCCCAGGGCACTAGCGTGTACACTTCCACGTTGACGCTGACGTCTATCGCCATCGATCGGTTCTTCGTCATCATCTATCCGTTTCAGCCAAGGATGACTATATGGACTACCGCGCAAATAATCGCCACCATATGGATATTCTCGTTGGTAGCCACACTACCATACGGTATTTACATGGCCAACAAGGAAATGTATGGGAAAGATTTTTGCGAGGAGACGTGGCCACAAGAGACGTTCAGAAAGGTAACTTATCCATTTATTGACAGCAACATATATTATATAATTTATAAAATATATAAATCAAATGAAGCGTTTTAATTATAATGAAGCAGAATAACTACCTAGGTGATCTATTTCTGAAAAAAAGTATGTAGGTTAGGTTTTATTAATAAAATATATTATTAGTTTCCTTACAACTTATGTATAGTAGCACACGGGGAAATTACACGTTGTTTTTATTTTTTAATTCTTATACATTACTACTTATTTAACAAACCAAATTCTAATAATATTATTTTATAACTGTATATTAATTAAATTTTTTAAGTTCAGCTATTAGTTATAGTCAAATTAACTTGAACTACAGCTATGAAATTATTACGACTAAGAGTTTTATAATGAATAAATATATATATACATATATTTACATATTATAACATTACAAGTACATAATGTATTTAAATAAATATTTGGCTTGATTTTTAATTTTTTAGAACTATTTGATATAGTATATAGTATAACTCGTAATATCATTCAACAGAGTAAGTTGTATTTGACATTATTTTGGCAAGTGTTTTCAAAGAAGGAAAAACAATCTGATAAAATGTTTATTTTTATTTGTTTTACGCTTAGAACATGAAATATGTGTAATTTTGTTAACTGTTTTTAATATAAAACAGTGTTATGTATTTTTTTGTTTTAAATTACTATAGTTTAAAAAACAATCAGTAATTTATTCTTCAAAACTACAAACTAGTGTTAATCGTGATAAATCTCTTTGAGGAGTGGTCTTATTACACATATCACAAACTGTGAAATCCCGTTTATTTTTATTTACATAAGTTAATCGCAGTGCGTTGAAAAACGATTTTGTTAAATTTTCGCTGTAAATTATTCATTTAATAAAATATTCATACAGCGGATTTAAGCATTAAGTAAAAACTCAGATACGATAGAAGATTGAAAAYAAATATTTATGTAAGTTGCAACACCAACTAACATTGATCAATAATATTTTTTGTTTAAAATCTTTATGTTTACAGATATTCAATTTTACCAACTTAATATAGTCAACGGTCGTATTCAAATAACAATATTACTTTAGTTTGAAGCTCGTATTGAATTTCCTTAGATCTGTACGCAGTATAATATACCAATAATGTTGTTAGAATGGAACGTTAGAATTGAGACAAACTGCATTTATTTTTTTTTTCTCGTTATTGATGAGTGTAGTTGGGTAAGAAACTATAAAATGACTTGGAGTAGTGAACATTTTTATTCGCACAACTAAACGATAAAATTAAAGTATAAACTATTTTTAAGCTGTAAAGTATATGGGTTATGTATATTTATATGCGTAATACCATACCACAACGTATGCAATATAATTTAATATGGATAGTAATTTAACTAACGTTTTCCTACACACAAAAATAAAATAAAATAAATATATATATATAATTATTTATGACTCAATGAAAAATGTACATAATATTATTCTGCGTGTTATATAGTTTTTTTTTTGATAGACGTGAAACTCAAAAATTAACGTGAWAAAAATTATGAGCAAGTGAAATATGTTTCAAAAAAAATAATACAAGGCATTTGAAGTGTGTAATAAATAAATTCTCACAAATATAAATATCTAAATAACCTTACAATCAAACGTACTATAGTGTGTTTTAAATTGCATACATAATTAATGTCTAACATTATAGTAGTTAACGTATTATATGTATAACTTAAACTACTTTATTCATTACTAGCTAATTGATAATAATTTTATATTTTGGKTAAATTATAAAAATATGGACTAAAATGAGTTGTCTACACCGATTCGAGAACGATACAAAGTTTGATATTAACGGATCTGAATATGATAATTAATTAATAATAATGTGTTTGATTCGTATAAATATTATACATACATATGTTACGGGCCAAAGTCGAGTTCGGGAAAACCACAGAAATGCCCGGGCAAAACGTTAACTGCCCACAATCCTTAGGAAAAATGTCATATTTCGGCTTTTGACCGGGCAAACCTAGTTATGACCAACCTCATTTGGGTAAAACCGTATACTGACTTTTATCGTAATGGCAAAACCGTACCTAGTGTCGTATATACGTTCGCTAATATTAAATATAAATAGTGATTTTTGTCGTACGAATTATTACGATTATAAATGACCCCACGTATCTTGTTAATTTATCATTGTTATCGTATTTGATCGTATCGACGGTCAAAAGCCGAAATATGACATTTTGCCTAAGGATTGTGGGCAGTTCGCGTTTTTCCCGGGCATTTCTGAGGTTTGCCCGATTTTGGCTTTTGACCGTAACATATATATTATATTGTAAATAGTAAATAGATGTATGATTATGAAAATTGTTGACTTTAGGTCTACTACTATCAACATTATATTACTTATTTGTATCTGGTGATACAGTTCTATAAGGATTATAAAATAATAAATGTATCCGATTGAAATGATAATAATGTGATATATTATAATAGCGATCAGCTTGCGTACGCGATTTGTACTGCATTATTTATTGAGTTACCTTTAGTATGAAATCTGTTAGATTAAAATGTAATAAACTGCTTTAGTTAGTTAGTAGTTAGTGAGTTTCCACTAAATTTAAATTAATAATATATCTAGAAATCGAATAGAATAACTAATTATTATATGCAATACCCTATTGAGAGCAGTTAAACAGTTAACTAGTTGAAGAGTGTAGATACAAAATTATTATTATGATATTAAAAAACAACTATAACATTCAGAAATAATATTATTATACTATTTATGTTGAAATATTTCTTGCATTTATGTATCCCAAAATGGAAATCTAAATCAAACATTTGACAATTTAAAAATGAATACATGAAAATATCAACAAAATGAAAAATATCTCTAATATATATAGCACTATGAACGCGAAATTTCCATATTCTCGTAGGTATGTTAGTTATGAATTTAATTATGATACAATATCGATGCACAGGAGTTGAAGTACGTTATGGCTGTGTTGATAATTGTTATTAATAATTATTATTTAATAAAATTATCAAGTTAATCGTCATATCTGTTATCAGTAGTGAAAACGATACCAACTAGTTAACATGCTACGGAAATGAATTTTATTTTAACTACTTACAATGCACACAATATAACTGAACAATCAAGAATAATTTATATAATATCCAACTAAATTATACGGTTTATGTCATTATTTGGTAAGAGTTCTATATATTTTATGAAATAACACCATTTCATACTTTAACACTAATATATATACATATAACATCGACAATAAATCAGTGCAATTAATGGGGCTGGATCGATATATACACCGACGTCCGACGCTGATGTTCAAAAGACGAAAGTTTCATGAACGATTTATGTTTTTCGCTTGAGTTTCCAAACCATCGGTATAACTGTATAAGTAAAGAACTTTTCTCGGATCTTCAACTTAATTTTTTACTCTCTCCTAGAAACCAAATAAAAAATAAATATTACCCCAGACGAATAATAATGATGAAATAGTTCTCAATAAGCCACTTTTATAATTGTTGTGCAAAAACAACTCTGACAACAAGACAATAATAATATACTCAGTTGTCAAGTATTATGCGTTTAATGTCATTATTTATTATTTACACTCGAAATCTTTATAAACAGCTGCGAAGTCAGAGCAGAAAAAGCATCACGAATTTTCATGATTCCGTTTCATTGTTGTTGCATAATTATTATTTTATAGTTTGTTTCAACTATTACGGAAACGTGCAATGCACTTTAATAATATTAATATAATCCTTACTTATAATAATATTACATAGGTAATAGTGTAATATATTATTACTTACCTAGACGTCCAATCCCAATAAATTCGTATCCTATGATATCTGTCCGGTAAGTTTAATCTCGACTACAGTTCTATAATATTATAAACCACAATATTCGTCCCTCTACGTATAAATAATTGTTGTTTTAACATTACATCGAATGGTGCATGAATAAAATATAGTATATTATATGTATACTACCCGGCACCCAATCGTTGACAGCCAATAGATTTATAACGGGGTGGCCACCTCTCCATATAAAAGAGAGTATTAATGTTTCTGGAAAGATTTTCTGAAATATTATGTAAAAAATGTTTAATATTAATTATGTGTCTTTTTAAAGTATGCTTGCATTTTACCAAGAATTGAATACATTTGTAAGTTTTTTTTGTTTCTTTGTAACAGGAAATWTAAGCATAATAAAAATTTTATTTGAAGAAATTCTATTTTGCATATTTAAACTTCAAAGATTTGAGAATGCTTGTATACGCAGGTATAATATATTTACCCAAATATTTAATTTAATGACTTTATCTAACTGATATAAGCACATTTTTTATATATTTAAATAGTTGYATCCTAAACATAAAAAAACAGTTTTGTATAGTAATATATACCTACCCTCCGGCGTCTCAAGCGCAGACGTCCTCATGATGCCCTTTCTCAA